TATCTATGTGTTATTTGTATTTTGTGTAGGTGTTATTTGTATTATTTGTTTAATTAGATTGTGTGCTTAAATGATGTATTTGATTAATTGTAATTAATTGTAAATTAAATGATTAAATATTTTATTTTATTTTATTTTATGGTTATGGTTAGTGGTAATGGGCTAACTAATTGGGTCCTATGAACTACTTAGATAGGAGGTTGGATGGGTATGGATAATTACTCATGGATAGTTGTATATGTATATATATAGATATATATGTATATACATATATATAAAAAGGAAAGTAATTTATTAATATTATAGTAACTTTAGTATTAATAAATAATCTGATGTATATATTTTATATATTTATATAATAAGGATAAACATATATTTTATACGTAACATGTTTTAAGTTACCTTTTTAATATTATGGTAACTTTAGTATAAATAAATAATCTGATGTATATATTTTATTTATTTATTTTATTTATTTAATGAAAATACAGATAGATTATATATGTAACATGTTTTAAGTTACTTTTTAATATTATGGTAACTTCAATATAAATAAATAATCTGATGTATATATTTTATTTATTTAATGAGGATATAGATAGATTATATACGTAACATGTTTTAAGTTACCTTTTAATATTATGGTAACTTTAGTATTAATAAATACTCTAATGTATATATTTTATTTAATTAATAAGGATATACATAGATTATATACGTAACATATTTTAAGTTACCTTTTTAATATTTTCATTTTTTTTATTTTTCTTTAGTAAGTTGACTTGGATTGGAAAAAGGAATAGGGTTATTATTGAGCCTATAAATACACAACTATAGGTTGAAAAAGGAGTGAAAATATATCACGTAATATATTCTAGAGAGAGAGAGAGTAGAGAGAGAAAGAGAAAGAGGAAGGAATGAGGAGAAAACCCTTTAGAGAGAAGATCAAGGAAGAAGAAGTTTAACTTTCAGTTCGAAAGTTTAAGGTAAGTTCTTCTTCTATCTCTTTCCCTTTGATTCGTGTTTCTATGCATGCCTAGGAAATTCCAGGGTTTATTAAACACAAAAAATTAAATAATTATGCATGTTTAATTAGATTAGAACTGAATTTGGTTCATATCTGTTCTTGTGTTATGAATTGATAAATACATGATTTTGATTTGATTTCCGGTGTGAATTTTTACATGTTTAAATTATGTATATTTCATATCTGTGGAATGATGGAACATAGAAACATGCCTAGGATTCCTAAACATTAAATAGGAACTAGGTTTGGGTTTAAATAAATTTAAATAGACTCAATCATAATGATGCTTGCTATTTAAATGTTTTAAACAAACAAATGAATTTAATCTTTTAATATGTTTTAACAATTGAGATTAAATGTGTAGGATGAATTGGATATGGAGAATACTTATTTGACGGTATAATAAAATATCATCATATGTATAAGATTCAGTTTATGTAGGACATATGATATAGGAAACTTAAATAAATAATAAGTCATTCCTATTTTGTGATAACTTGATATCATATTATCATAGTTATTTCTGAATTGTTTGATGTATTTCCTTAATCGTTACATTAATTGTTGAATTGTGTGATTTAATGCACCGGTATGGGACGGTGGCATTCTAGGAACGGATTAACTTATCAGTTAAGTCCTACCTATTTTATATAAGGGAATGGATTAACTAAAATGTTAAGTCCTACTTATATTCAAGTCAGGTCAGCTGAACAAGTTGAATGACTTATGGATGATTAATTTATTATATAAAGGAATGGATTAACTAAAATGTTAAGTCCTACTTATATTCAAGTCAGGTCAGCTGAACAAGTTGAATGACTTATGGATGATTAATTTATACCGGATAGGATGGTTACTAGATTATATATATATAAGTATGGTGCCATGATATGAGCTTGAGTCTCAGGATCAGTGGTTAGGGTGCGTATATCGCCAGGGATGTGTAACTAGATATGGTGTAGTTGTGTATCCTGGTAGGTATAGGTATTCATGCCCACTATATGTGCGTTTTGCATGTTGCCTACTATTCAGGTTGAGACAACCCTATAGTCTAGTGAGGTTCATTTAGTGTGTCTATATATATATATATATATATATATATATATATATATATATATACGGACTACTAGTTACTGTTGGATTGACTAGGATGTATACATGTATCGGATCTCTGCTTGGAGTGTAGTAGAGTAGAACTTGTTTGTGGGCCTGACCCACCATTATTTTTCAAGTGTTCGTCAGGAGTAGAGGTTGTTCGTGCTGAGCAGGGATCAGTCTACTTCATTCTTCCGATGCTACATAGGAGTTCTTTTATGATTCAGTTTCCTGATTTAGACAGTTATTGCTGTCATTTGTTTAGTTTGGATTTTCTAGGGGTCCACACAGTATGGATTCCCGAGTTGTATTTTGGAGGATCAATTGTATCAGAAGAGTTTATTAATTAATGAAAATATATTATGAGGTTTATTATTAGATTATCATTTTAGTTTCTTTTCAGCAGTTTATTTATTCTTCTTTATTCTCTTGCACTCTGTGTTCGTTTATTTTCAAATTGTTTTGATATCCTCGGGTATTTGGGCGTGGGCCTGACCAACCCGCATTCAGAAATTCGGGGGGTATCACAATATTCAACGATCAAAGTATTTGTTCCCAAGCCGTAGACTTTCAAGATCAAGATCATAGTTAATGATCAAAGTACTTTCTCAAGCCGCAGACTCTCAGGATCAAGGCTATCACGGAACTACGCATGACCTGATTCTTAACGTCGTCTAGATACGTAGATAGCTTTGGTTGTTCCTTAAGCTGGGTCACCACAGAAAAAAATCTCCATTGAAGATTAAGATATGTACTACTATGCCAAGTTAAAGATCACTCCCTATGTGGAAGCAATATCAAGTAAATTTTGCTCATATTAAGATAGTGAGATGCTAATAAGTAAGAACTTCAATGCCTAGGTGATTATACCCAAAAGGACTGGAGGCCATCATTTCTGCTATCCTATACACTATTATTCATTGCTAGCCCCTCGTGCTATAATAAATTTTCATTTCATAAAGCGCACCGATGATCACACCCCACACTAGGGCAAATGTTGAGGTAATATTTTATAATCTCATATTAGGCTAGTTGAAAATTTTTACAATTAAGCAACCTGAATTAAAATAAAGAGAGGCCATCATTTTTATCATCCATAGTTCATTATAATTTCCTTTGACAAGCCCATAGAGCTTTGTTACGTTCTTTATCAAGGATCATTACAAGTATGTCATTTTTTTACAAGAAAGTGAAAACAAAAAGAATACAAATCAAGATAAGGTGCCCAAATCAAGCAAAGGTGCCCAAAAGAAGGATCAAGCAAAGGTGCCCAAAATAAAAATCAAATAAAGATGCCAAAAAAAGCAAATCAAGCACATGGGACCAGCAGAAAAGTTAAGCTAAACTCCGAAGAATAGTCAAAGACCAAGATAAACACAAAAGCACAAGTTGATGAAAAATGATCCTTAGTCAGTTTACCCCCAATTCACATTAATCTTGGACCTTCATACATTCTTTTCATCACCCTAAACCTATTGTCACGCTACAACCTACATAAAGTCCTCTCTGATTAAGGATGATTGGTTAGTTATAAAAAATTTCATCTAGATTAACATAAGAAAACATGGCCCAAGCTGGGGCAATTCATTTTTATAGTGATCATGGCTTATAAACCTCATATAGAAATAATATCTTTGAGCCTTAATATCTTTCCTTGGTTACCATATACCTAGCCTATGTTACAGTCCTAATTAATGTCCTCTACGATTGGCAAAGATCACCAGAAATTGAAAACTTTTGCTTATTAAAGTCTCACTAAATAAGCAACATTTGTCATCATCCCCCAAACCGGGGCAGTACATTTTTGAAGAAAGTTCAACAAGTTGTGATTCTACAATGAAGAATATTTTTGCAGATTTCCCAAGAAGATGCTACTTGTAAGTTGTCAACTATCTCCTGAATAAAAATCTGGACTCAGTGAAAACCCACTTAAGGGCGCTGAGGGTAAAAAAGTGCAGAAGGCAGACTTGGTGAAAACCCAAGAATGGGCACCAAGGGTAAAAATGCAACCAATCTTGACGAAAATCTCTTTTGAGACGTTAAGGGCAAAAGTGGTAGACCAGACTTAGTGAAAACCCGAAAGGGCACTAAGTGCAACAGTATGGTCCTGAAAAAAATAAAAAAATAAAAAATCTCACCCTACTGAGTGTCCTAGTCCTTAGATCAAACTACATCTGATTTGATTCCCGCATTTTACACTTGGGTTTGGTCATACTATTATTTATATCACCATTTATCATACCGTTTACCTCACCCTCAAACAACCCTTTAAGTTTCAACAATTTTCAAGAGGGAACTATGAATAACCTGATACTTGACACTATCAAGATACATAGCCAATTTGGGATCTATCTTAAGTGAGGTTAATCCACTTTCCAAACGCCATCACTCTATAATTATTCTGGTGTTGTCAAGCGACGAATCAAAGGTCATGACCTATGGAAAAGGAATTAAGCAATATGTCAAAAGTCATGTTCAAGAGAGTAATAGACAATTCACGAACAAAGAGAATAGTATCCTTTTTGTGATATTAAATAAATAAAGCTAATTATCGTATTAATTACTTTACGTTCATTACATTCAGAATAGTTAAATGCCAAATCACACGCTCAGACATTCTTAAAATAGATCATAGAACCTAAGTCTTTATATTTATATATTACACCAATGGCATACTCATTGTCCTAGCTTAGAGGATATATCATCTTGCTCATATTTAAAGTGTAAACTGGTGCACATAATGCATCTATTTTATGTTTCTTTTCCCACTCATTTTTGGTTTTTAAGATCTTTCCTTACTAAAGGATTACAAGAAGAAATATTTCTAATCTTTTTGCATATAATATAATTTGTCTCCATGCAAACTAACAATGCACTCATGCAGGTACATAAAAGTCTTATAAGCTCTATTAATAATCTTTCTATAGGTCACCATGTCAAGAAGCTGTGTGATGTTCAAAAGAGACCATGAAAGCTCCATCCACTAATTGAAGCCACTAGGCAACTCAATTAAATGACACATGCCACCTATGGTATGGAATGATGTCAAGTTCCAATCGAGTATGGGTAACCACATGAGCAAGAAGGAGAAGATGTACAGAAGCCTACACCTAAAGAAGGGTTTCTCTTAAATAAGGTTACATCTAGTCGACAAGTGTAAAGCCAAAACAAGCAACACTTATGATTGCTTCAATTTTACTCTCCTCGTCATGGCAAAGAAATAGACATAACATACAGAAGAAAAATGAAAGGAAAGTGAAAGCCACAAAAGTGGCATATCCACCTTGAAGCTTAGTCATTGCCTGTGCAATCAAAACCCTTTTCAGCTTAAGCATCACCATCATTGCCATCCTCATCTCAAACAGGAAGTCATTATCTCAATGCTCTGTCATATGGTATACCGCATCTGCATTGTTATTCACTGCTGATCAAACTTGACATATTATAAGTAAGAACATTCACATCATTAGAGCATGGTAAGATCGTATTTTTACAGGGCGATGCAGAAAAGGTAATATCAAAATTTGTACAAACATCCTACATGGAAAAGTAGGAACATAGGTCTTACTCGCCCAGTGAATATTCCAAAGACAAAGTTATCTTTTCACTCACTAAATGATAAAATGGCAAATTCGATAGTGTGCCAAACATTTTTCAAAATGCACCCTTGGTGTGCTACGTATGATTCCAAATATCCAATAAAAGCATTAGCGTGCCATTCATCAGAGTAAGCACCTCTAGTGTGTTAAATATATATTTCCAGAACACACCCTTATTGTGTTATCCCAATGAATGACCCAATTCATAACAAGGACTAGAATGCTCCATGCACACACTTAAAGAACTCATGGCCAATTTTGTGCCAACCGAAGTGCAAAATGGGTTATGTCTACTTCTTTGTTTGTCATTGCTTCAAAACACCAAACAAAGAGGGGCAGCTGTAGACACCCAATTTTGCCCCTACCCATTTTAAGGGATATTTCGGTAAAACTAGTTTGGCCAAGCCAGCAAAGTAGAAAATCAGACCACCAGATCAAAAAATGGATGCAACCAATGGTTCCGGAAAGACACAAAACATTATAGTACGCCTAGAGTCAGGTTCACAATGGGACTCCTAGTACTTGATCAAGGAAAAAGCAAGATAGTAATTTTGCATTCCTTAACCCGTCTAGTTTTGATTAAAACTTAAAAAGTGGTCTAATTTGATCTCCATATGAATAAATAGACCATGCCGTTATGTGTAGAATGCGTCAAAACCATAGAGTAGTTAAAATAAAAATAATAATAATAATATAAAATATAATATGATAGTACTAAAGAAGATATTAAAGTAAATATATATATAAATAAATATATACGCAGTTCTGGGCAAACCTACTTCTCTTATACTTTATATAATTATATAATATACTAAATAAATAATAAAATAAAATAAATACTTTAAATAAAATATATAGATATAATAAAGTTATCACATCATGGCTTAATAATCACTAGAATGTAGCCATAAGCCATACCCGTATACAAATAGTATAGTAATAAAGGGAAAGAAATAAAAATAATAATAAGTAATAAAATAATAAATTAAGTAATCAGTCCATGTTTGAACTTAGTGGAGTTGAGTGGCGGCATGGTCACTTAGGTTTGTGGTTGGTAGCAACAAACAAGGTAATAAAATAAAATCATACAATTTTAGAATCTTATTTCAAATAAATAAGGCAATAAAATAAAATTATATAAAAAAGTTGTTTGGAAGATAATATAAACTTAGTCAAACTTATTTTTTAAAAAATTCAAATAAAGTTGTTAATATAGATAACCTAATCTATTATATCTTATCCTATGAATTATTTCTTCTCTCATGTGCGTTTATTTAAAAGGAGGTTTCTACTCATATTTGGGGGGACCGGAATTACCCATTACAAAGGCACCAATACGCACAAACCAAGTTCTGCCGACCCCATTTGGACACCAATTACACCCACAAAGCACATACAGTGAAGAGATAGGAAAATCACATACCAGTTGGACACCAACCACGAAGTATCAATGGTCGACACAAACACAAAAAAAGGCATAGGAAAATCTTTTCCTCTCCTTCTTATAGGCCACCAACAGAAAATCTTTTTCTCGGGTTCTCCTATGAGACTCCAACAGTGAAGCCAAGCCTCTGGCCGTCAACTTCCAAGGCCCAAAATAAAGTTAGAACTCTACCCAAAAAAGAAGAGAGCAAAGGGAAACGGCTGCTCCATCTTTCCTTTCTACTCACCGTCAAAGGTTAACATTGTTTTTTAATTTTGCAAAATATATTTTATTTAATTCCTTTGCCATATAGACTCTTCATTTTAAGATTCATGTTAGCAAGCATACTTGTTGATCAGTGATGTAAGACCCGTGTAAATATATATATATATATATATATACACACACGTATATTTATTTATTTAATTTAATTTAATTTAATAGTTATCTATGTTTGAATTTAAAAATATAGTAGAGATATTAGAGTTTTTAAATTTAAAATTTAAATAGGAATCCTAAACTATCTCAAATGCTGTATATTTATCTTTATATTTCACGTCATATGAGTTCTACGAGTATATTATTTTAAATATATATATATATATATATATATAAATATATATATATTACAGCGTGATAGGACGGAGATCCAGAGAGAGTGATCTGACGTCGTGTCTTTCTGCAGTAGCCGAGGGGGCTACTGAGGGAAGGAACGACAATCTGGAATTCGCGTAGGAAGGAAGAATTAATTTTACCCCAGGCAAGTTAATCTTGCTTTGTATACTTATACATATACGTAACTTTGCCTATTTGGATTGATTGAAAATTATTGTAGCATGTTTTTATCTATTGCAGTAAATTAATTTAATGATGACTGGATAATGAAGAAATGTATACGTGAATTGCATAAATCCTTGGAATTAGCTTGCTTGTTATGACTTTCTGTTCTTAATTTCTTATGACGATATTATAAATGTTTCTTATGAAACCTAGTTTTGCAATGATAAATTGCAATGATTAAAAGACTTGATGTAAGTGTATACCGACCATGACTAATGAATATGACTATAAAACTTATTGGTTAAATTCAGAGTACAGAATGATAGTTATTTTTTTCTAGAATAGATGAAAGATGTGTGATACACATGGCAATATATGTAGCCTCATGTGAGGATTAGTTTCAAGAATTGTATGGAATTTTCATATACGTGCACAATATATAGATGGTTATGCTTGTGTTGTTAAATATAGATTTATATATGTATGATATAAACTTTGTCAAGGCCTAGTTCAAGTATTATTAGAACTGGGATCATCTTTGGGTATAGAACAGTGTGTTTAAAATGACTAGTTTAATGGTTAGACTTCATAGGTACGTAATTTAGGTGGATTGGTTGTGAAATCTAATTCTAATGGTAATCTAAGTAGGATAAGTAGGGGAAGGAGAACCCAAAATGGGTCTCCTGTGCAAAACAGAATTGTTTTTTTTTTTCTTTTAATTAATTACTATTATTATTTGATTTAAACAGAAGAAAAATAGGAAATAAATAGTTTTCATATTTCAAAAATACAGTAAATTCTAGAATATTAGACTTTATCATAATGGACTTAAATGTGATAACTTACTGATTTTTAGATGATCTTTAGGTAGGTTAACTAAATTAAAACCGAAAAGTATTTTTTTCTCAATACTAAAAGGGAGAGTATGGAAAATCTATTAAGAGAAATTCTGAAATTTTGCAGGGTATTATATCTAATGTTAGGCTATGTCCAGAAATTTTGTACTCTCACTAGTTGGATCATTAGAGTTCTGTTTTTAAATTAAAATGATATTTGGGTGCATTAACTATTAATTTGAATTATTAATTAATGATATCTTTTATAATTCATCATAATTAATAATTAATGGATGAATTTGGATTAGTCGGAGGGGTAGTCAGGGACTGACCCTATGATGACTTTTGGGTATGGTCAGGAACCTGCCTATTGGGAGTGCACTACCCTTTTATTATGGCCATGGGTCTAATGAGCCCTTATTTTGTGGACATGATCAGGGATCATCTGGGGAGTAGACATACAATCCAGCCACACGTGTGTTTTTGGTAGTTAGGGAATATACGATTTACACCACTTTATTAGACGGGAGCCCGGGGCTCATGTGAGATATATAGATTTATCAAAAATAAATGATGGTCATTGATTGTGTTTATAATTAACTGGAATATGCATATTTAATTAATGCATTTATTGAGTTGCTTATATATATGGGAATACAAGGTAAGGTTAGCCTGCTGAACGATGATTGTGTTTAGCATTTCTTGCTGGGCTTGTGAGCTCACCCCATTATCACATTTCAGGTGCTCGTAGAGTAGGAACGTGATGGGATCACATGATGGGGACGGATTTTGGCTAGTTTTTCGTATTCTTTGGTTTAGTTCAATTTCCCATTCTAATAAGAATGACGATATATTTTTGAGATTTAGTTCATTTTGTCCAGTTATCATGGATTATTTTGACAAGGTTGATTGTTATTATGGTTGTATCGATTTAATAAATTAGTGGGTGATTTACATCTACTTCTTTATTTAATTATCTTTTTGTAAAGTTGTAGTTGTGTAAAGAAAGTTATGCCAGATTTTAATACTAGATAAGAGTTCATATATTTAAGATTTCAGGGCGTGACAGTTTTGTATCAGAGTCTGACCCAGCCGGAAGTGTGCCGACGAGGACGTCGGGCCTCCAAAAGGGGTGAATTATGATGACCCTGTGGGCGGGTGTGCCGTGGGCGGGTGCGAGAGACACTGTCAGGCTACCACACTGGCGAGCTACAAGTGCACAGTCCCACATCGCCTGGGTAGAGGAAAGGTGAAGTGCTTATATGTAAGTGTGTCACCTCTAATTGGTATGAGGCCTTTTGGGGTGAAGCCCAAGAGCAAAACCGTGCGGACTCAGGCCCAAAGCGGACAATATCATACCATGTGGTGGAGTGGATCGTTACAATTGGAATCAGAGCCTAGGTTAAGAATTACCTGGCTAAGAGAAGTGATAGTAAGAATAGGAGCATATACTTATACGAATTATTGCTCTCTTACCATACTCCAATTTAAAGTATAAATTACTTGTGAGACTTATCATTGACATTCTTTACTGGAAATTGGATGTTAGGAGCTGGAAGAGGCAGACGACGACCTGCTAGAGGTAAAGGTCAGGGAGGTGCCGGTCGTGGTGGTGTTGACCATGACAATGTTCAGTTGGAGGATACACCTCATGTGCCGAATCTTATAATTGGATTTATCAGAGATATCCGCAAATTGGAGACTGTTGAATTTGCTAGAGCTACCGATCCACTTGATATTGAGAAGTGGATTGAAGATATAGAAAAGTATTTTGAGATGATGGACTGCACTGAGGTGCAGAAAAGGAAGATTGGTGCATTTCTTTTATCTGGTGAGGCGCGCCAGTGGTGGCAGTCAGAGACCAGGATGGTTGTGGACATTACAACTATGACCTGGGATGATTTTAAAACTCAGTTCAACGACAAATACTTTCCACAATAAGTGAAGGAGAAGAAGGCAACTGAGTTCATGCAGCTGGAACAGAATCATAATATGACAGTCAATGAGTACAAGAGAAAGTTTACAGAGCTATCCCGATTCGCTCCTCACATTGTTGCGAATGAATTGCACAAGGTCAAAAAGTTTGAACGGGGATTGATCTCTCATGTAAAGAAGTTTATGGTGGGTCATCATTTTGACACTTATGCTAAAGTGGTGGAATATGCCATGGCAGTAGAGGAGAATAATAACATTGCCTTTTAGAAACAGAAGGAGCGTAGGGCAGAACAGAAAGGTAAGGGGACTAGCAGCTCTCAACAGAATCAGAGGGGTCAGCAGCAGCAGACTCAGAGAAACTGGCAGGGTCAGTCTTGGCAGAGAGGTAGACAAGATTGGCAAGCAGGGAAACGACAGAGAGTTGGTGAAGGTGAGTAATCCACAGCTTTAGTACCAGCCACACCTCATGATGCACAGCCATATCAGTTCAGCGGGCATTGCTACAATTGTCGTGAACAAGGACATTTGGCTCGTAATTGTCCCAAGCCTCACAAGAATAACCAGCAGAAAGGTCAGGCACCGCAGCAGCAAGGAGGTGCAAGGGTTTATGCAGTTGTTCCAGATGGGAGACAGGATCGTGCACCACCAGCAGTGGAAGGTACACTTACTATTTATGGCAGTATAGCTAGAGTACTTTTTTATTCAGGTTCTTCATATTCTTTTATTGCACTATCATTTGTGGATACACTGGGATTAGAACCTGGACATATAAGTAATGCCTTATCTATTACAACTCCACTCGGGAGTGCGACGACACTTGATAGAATATGTCGTGCTTGCCCTGTTACACTTGGGGAGTTGGAGTATCCTATTGATTTAATAGTATTACGTATGAGAGACTTTGATGCTATACTGGGTATGAATTGGTTGGCTAGATATCATGCTTAGTTGGACTGCCATGAGAGGATTATTGTATTCTCAGTTCCAGGACAGTTACCTTCTCGATATAAGTGTGGGGGGTTCGAGGGCACCATGACTATGGGATTTCTGGCCCACATCAAGGTGGTTGAGCAATGCGTGACTATAGAGCAGTTGTCTACAGTGTCAGAGTATGCAGATGTGTTTCGGGATATTCCGCGTTTGCCTCCTAGGAGGGCAGTGGATTTCTGCATCAACCTTACTCCTGGTATTTCACCTATCTCTAGGGCACCTTACAGAATGGCGCCAGTTGAATTGAGTGAGTTGAAGAAGCAGACTCAAGAGTTGCAAGATCAGGGTTTATTCAACCTAGCACATCACCTTGGGGAGCACCTGTTTTATTTGTCAAGAAGAAAGATGGGTCACTCCGCTTATGTGTTGACTACCGTGCACTGAATAAGGTCACTATTAAGAATAAGTACCTATTGCCACGCATTAATGATTTGTCTGATCAACTCAGAGGGGCGCAGTTGTTTTCTAAGATTGACTTGAGGACTGGGTACCATCAGCTGAGGATTAGGGAGGAGGATATTCCTAAGACTGCCTTTAGGACTCGTTATGGCCTCTATGAGTTTTTAGTCATGCCTTTTAGGTTGACTAACACTCCGGCAGCTTTTATGGATTTGATGAACCAAGTGTTTCAACCTTACTTGGATCAGTTTGTTGTGGTATTTGTTAATGACATCCTGATATATTCCAAGACTAAGGAGGAGCATAAGAGACACTTAAGCATTACACTTCAGACTTTGCGAGAGCATCAGCTCTGTGCTAAGTTTGAGAAGTGTGACTTTTGGAATGAGCAGATTCAGTTTTTGGGGCATATGATC